AGCACTATTACGGCGTTTGACGTCAGGAAACTGAACATAGTTTTTATTTATTTTTTTTTATTTTTGTGACATTATTTTTAAAAGTTGTAATAATTGTTTAAATTTGTTCACGTCTCGTCAAAATAGCTTCTTTGATATTTTGAAGTGTTTGGTCTTCGATGAACTTGAAGAGACAGTTTGCCCTGGCGCAGCATGGCATTTAAAGTTAGTCATTTTTCCATTCGCCATGGCCTAGCACTGGACACAGTAGAGATCTATCGGCTTCATAGATCGACCTGCTTTCCAACACGTAGAGTTCTTCAATCGACCTCAATCTCTATGACCCAATTTTCTAAAAATGATTGAGCAAGTGACCCACCATCTTACGATTCCAACCGGGTAGCATATTGGGTAATTTCAACTAAAAGTAAATGATATCGACCAACAAGTGTTAGATAATTCGTGTCAAGTATGCTTAATCATGAAACGTTCAGTTTCATGGTTTATTTCACAGTATTCTCAAAAATAAAGAGCAGTAAAGGAGTTACATATCGCTAGCATAAGTATTTGTGGCTGCTCCCTGCTTTTAAGTAAGCCAACGGCCCAAATTAACCCGCTATAGCTCGCACCGGTCACAACGTTTCAAAAAGACACTGCTCGCCTTCATTTGCAACACTCTACTGGACACCAAGTGGCATAATTTGGTCTCTAGTGATATTTGAGCTTCTTCCCATGTTGTGTTATTTACCTTTTTAGTGAATCGGTGAACTCAGTGAATAAAAACTAAAGCATAAAATAGTAGTGCATCGTATTTTGAATAGAGCATACGAGAACCCGGGGCTGGACAAAGTTACCCGAGGAAGTATTTGCGATTACAAATACTGAGATGCGTGAAAGGGAAGGTTAACGCGAGATGCTGAGGTATATTTGTATTTTATATCTCGGGAATTTGAGAGGACACTTCCGTAGAAATGGCATAAATAAGTCCTAGAACAGAGAGACTGGAATACAGATATTAAGTTCTACAAGTCCAAAATATGTCGCCAGACACTATCCATTATTTAACACTAAAATACATATACAATGTGGCAAATAGTATCTATATCTACTTGTCTCCAATAGCTATGTAGTACATGTATTCTCCAAAATTATTCAAATAGGCCAAACAGTCAGTAGCCGTCGCAAGCAGTCATTAATAGCAATATCATTATAAACAGAGAAGATAAAATAAGGCGGGATGGATCTCTTGAGGCGTTGGACCTCTTAACGCGTTGGACCTCTTGACTCGATGGACCTCTTGACTCGATGGACATCTTGACGCGTTGGACCTCTTGACACAAATTGGACCTTTTGACTCGTTGGACCTTTTGACGCGTTGGACCTCTTGACTAGTTGGACCTTTCGACTCGTTGGACCTCTTGACCATAAGCGGTCTTCCATGGGTCCTGGGCCCTGGCACGCGCCTCAGGGGCGCCGCTACACTATCCACTCTCCAGGGGATTTCAGGCCTGCATCCTTTCCTAGGAGCATCCATACTGCTCCGCGACCACCCGAGATTGTTTTAAGGTTCGTCAATTTCTCTTCGTATTTTGTAACCCATGCTCACCTGCGCACAACCAAAAAATTCGCATCAACATCACAGTTCATCCATAACATCAACTTCCAGCGCCTTAGCGCTTTCGGTAGATCGGAGCGCAAAGACTTGTCACGTGACTGTCAGTACAGATCTGGCTTTTGTTGCCATTGGTGACGTACCCAAACGAAAATCGCATGCCAGCACACACTTTATCAGAGCACAACTTCACTGCACACTTGCGCATTTTTGGAGTTGACTCAAAAAAATTAAAATGCCCGGCAATAACGAAATCCGGTAGATACTGTCAACGGTTTGTGAAAATTGACATTCATAATGCCAACCCCTGAATGGCCCAGATGACGGTCTAAAAAGCGTTCAAGCCCAGTCCGCACTTACGTGCCAAAAAAAAAAACCAAGAAAAAACAAAGAAAAAAGAACAGCCTGCACGGCGCGAGAGAGGGGGAAAGGTAGGCAGAGGAGGTGCCAGTGGTATCTCCATAGAGCCCCATGCGATGCGTCGGGAAACTCGGCAAGAAGAGGGCGAGAGAAAAGTGGGGGAAGATAGCGACGACGAACAATTGACAAGCCTAATTTCCGGGTGCACGTATTTTCTCAGTCGTTCTCAAAATATTTCACTGAATATGCTGTTCTTCGAATTGGCCCAGAGAAAACAGCTCTTGGGCCCGGTCCAGCTTTTTCCGAAAGCCAGTCATTAGCACCGGCCGTCACGTCTACGGGTCTACGAGGCAGGCTGCTACGTCGCCGTGATTTTTTTTTTTTTCGAGTCTGCATACAGTATAAGTGCTGCGATTGAATGAGTCGCTCAAGTCGCCCCCATGAAGAAGTCGGTGATCGCCAAAAACGCGGTCGTATTCAGTCACGGCTCGAGGACTTTTTCAAGGCCATAACGCTTCACATGTTGAATCGTACTACTGCTCGGATCAAAGGTGCCTGTGAGGATATAAATGACGCCCCCCAGAAAACAAGTGGCAGTGCACATAACGGCGCGTCAAGTCCAGTCTCCGATCAAGACCCTTCAGACGCCTCCAACGATCTCAATCAAGAACGCCCAGCGGACGGGATCCCCCTTCTGAAACCATTCCCGTGCACGCAGCGAGAATACCAGCTACGCGCAATGGGACCGCTAAAGCACGCGCGTCAGCGCATTAATCAGAAGCAGAACAAGGTAAGCGGTGGAACATTCCGCGCCCCGTGACATCGTCTCTTGTTCATTTATTTATGCGATTTTGTTTGTTCTTTTATATCTTTGAGGCTGGCACATCCAAAGACGTCTTTTGGAGGCGCTCCGTATTGCATCTCGTGTCTGGACATGCTCAAATAAACAGTTCGTACCAAACCTGTGTTTTAGTCACTTCCTTCGTACTTGCTTGATAGCAACTTGCCTTTGCAATAATACAAAAAAAAATATATATATATATCTATATATATATATATATATTTTTTTTTTTTTTGGGGGGGGGGGGGGGGGGGGGGGGGCGGGGGGACACAACGTTTTCCCACGACGGCTAGTTAACGTAATTTGGAAAGGTTTCTCGACGTTCTGTGAACGTCGTTGGTAGTCCGGATGTCGTGAATACACGTATCATAAACGTCGAGGGAGGACGCAACGAATCCCGGAGAAAAGCTCACCGGAGAAAAGCTCACCGGAGAAAAGCTCACCGGAGATAAGCTCACCGGAGAAAAGCTCACCGCAAAACCGGCGGATGCGGAGAAAAGCTCACCGGCCATTGAGCGTATGCGGAGAAAATTTTATCACCGATATTTTTTCTTCTTTTTACATGGAGGCTGTTGGATCGAGCGTAACATATATCAATTTATTATCATTAAAATTCGTCAGCTTTGTGAAAAATAAAATGTCCTCTTTTGTAATATTTGTTAAGCTTATTGGGTATATTGCTCCCAAATTAATAATTGCGGGAGAGTATTTTTTGTGGCTTACTCTCTATGCAACGAAAGCCTAACTAAAATATTTATGAATCTAAAAGTGCACGCGCAACAACGCGGTGCCTGAAATTCTCTTTGAAGCTTTTGTTAACATTTGAAAACAGGATAAAACAGTCGATAGGATATCGAGGGTCAATAGGATATCGAGTCTTCTTTTTTTCCACGGACATGCACGCTTTCAAGCCGTTCGTGTTTCCACGGACATGCACGCTTTCTAGCCGTTCGTGCTGCATGGTGTTTCCACACGTTCCCTTTGTGTGTGATAGCGCCTTCTACGGTGAGCCACCCGTGACCCTCAGAGCTGCACACTGTCACCGTTGTTACTCGTGAGCTATATAAGAGCTAGTCTTTTGTAAGGTATAGGTAGCGAATTGGGCGAGTCGGTAAACGTTATACATGATGAAAACCGCTCAAACGACGACGACGGGGTGAAGACAACAAACACGACACGACGAAGCTGTTCTCACAACTAAAGTTTTCTTAGTGAAATTAACTGAAAGAAAACAGCGTAGCCGACACTGATGACATCAACAAACATCTACTTATCTATTAGGTGCTACACAACATTTGGACCTCAAGCGATTCACACACCGCTATTCATATTAGCTCGCAAAAAAACAAACCCTTTATCTGACAGAGCTACCGACGGCGCACCCTCAACTGTCAATAAATTGTTGCCTTTTTTACCGGTGTACGATGTTCTGATTTTATACTTGCGGCTTCAATAATTTACAGAATGGGTGATTACCAATTTCTGAGGAAATAGTAAATATGCCCAATGAACCTCAAGACGCAGAATCAAGCTAAGCTAAAAAAATATCGGTGAGCTTTTCTCCACATCTGCCGGTTTTGCGGTGAGCTTTTCTCCGGTGAGCTTATCTCCGGTGAGCTTTTCTCCGGTGAGCTTTTCTCCGGTGAGCTTTTCTCCGCCGCCCGGACGCAACGGCCCACTGAGAAGTGTATGTGACGTGCAACAAACGTCATTAGGCACGTCCCCTCGACCTTCTGTGCACCTTTTCTCGCGGACATTTAAAGGTTTCATCGACGTCGAAGGAAGGTAACGTCCGGACCTTCGACGTTTTACGACGTCACGTTACAGACGTCTTCGACGTTCTTTTGACGTTTTCTTCACGTTTATGTGCTGCTTGGGAACGGTAGCACAAAAACTTTTGCGCAGAGCTTCTTGTTGTTTTATATTTAATCTGAAAATTTTGCGTTTTGGGCATCAATAGTCCGTTTTAAAGCGAAGAACTACTGCCAGTCGCTTTACGTTCGGTGCCAATGGTGGCCCAGGAACTATGTGCTTCGCGCGATGGGGTTTTGCGCTCATGTGTTTTCGACACACCAATATCGCCGCGTATCGCCAGCCGGTGCGTCATGTAAAGCGCTGCGGCGCGCCCAGTTTCACCGCTCATCTGCCCCTTGCTGTAGCCCAGGCAGGCACATGTCGACCTTGCAACACCCACTGGTGTACCAATGCAGTCGAGCTGCGACTGCCGAGGTCGCGTCCCGATGAGTGCGCACGACGCCGCCACCAGAGGCTCGCGTATCTGCTCCGAGTTAGACCTGCGGGGTGCCTATAGGAGAACGACCGCGCTACCTTGGCGCTGGATGTGTGGCGCCACATCTTAACGGTCCATTACACAAGTAGCAGTCGTCGGCGTATCTCGGGCAATGAGCCAAACGGGAGGAGGAGGAAAGCCGGAAATGCTGTGCAGCACCGCCTCCCTCGCTGCCGACAGCCGAGGCACTTGTCCTTTTTCCTCGAAGCTACACGGAGGCATCGCCTGTAAGTTCCAGCCTTTTCGCCGCTCGGGCGCCTTTGTATACATGTTTTCAGCGCCAGAAACATGTAGGTCAAAATGTTCGACTGGTGGTACGACGCTTCGGAAAGATGTCCGGGTCTGACCTGGCGCCGACAATTGCTGTCGCGTAAACGCGTGTGCCGCCGACGCCCGGTCGGACCCGGCCATTTTCCGTCCTGCTGCTCAAGTTTTCCGACGTTCTGTTGAGCATGTGTGTCACCCAGTGTTGCGTGAAGATAATAACCCCAGTGGACACACGCTACGGGTGTTATTTGTGCCTCCTATTCAGTCATAATTTGTTTCGTGGTTTGTTATTTGAACGGTATATGCCACACGTTTGCGGCTTTATCGTGTGTGAGGAAGGGTAAAAAGGGAACAACGATGAGTCATTGGAGGCAAAATATTCGGCTGAGACCCGTGTGTGTGTGTTCTCTGATTGGAGGCGAGTCTTGGGTGAACGCTGAAGCAAAATACTCTTGTTGAATTCGTTCCCCACGTTGACCTGAAGGTGACGCTTAAACTTCGGCACATCGGGATGATGCTGAATGTAGACGAACAGTTCAAGTGGCTGCTCGTGCTGCGCGAGGGCTGTAGTGACCAAAAAGTACAGCGCCCCTTCGTCCCCCCCCCCCCCCCAAACCCAAGAAACCCAAAACAAAAAAAAAAGGTTGAAGTGTTCTTTTTTTTTATTTTTTTACAAAAATAAAGAACGCATCTTCAAACGTTCATTTTCTGCTCAAACGTAGCGCTAATGGTTCGAACCAGACGGCGAAGTTTCAGAACTAAGCGTTATCTCGTTCAAAAGTTCGAACCGACATTCTCAAAATTTTAATGGGAAAATAGGTCCTGACTTCGCCTGTTTACGGACACTGGCACTATTTAGCGCCATGCACTCAAGAGCTCCGCCGGCCGCCATTTTCTCATTGAAAAGTTGAAAAACAGATCACGTAACTTTTGAACAAAATAACCGATAGTTCTGGAACCTTGGCATCTGGTTTGGGCCGCTAGTGTTACACTTGGACCGATAATGAACGTTCGACGATGAATAGTTTATTTTTTCGCCGTACAAACATGTTGTAAACTCTTTTTGGGACACCCTGTACTATCCCGACCACACTGTCCAGCGTAAACAGCTTATGCTGTAAATATGTGCACATAACAAATCTGGCAACAAGAAAATTGGCAATAGCATCGTGGCGCTACTTTGTGTTTTCATACCTAATCTAAGAAAAACATATAATCTTACTTATCTAACATTTTGTAGGTTTTTTTCTCCACACTAATGTTGAAGTCAACCAAGATCAAATGCTACATTTAGGCTGCTTGATGATTCACCCAGTTTTGTCAGTTGTTATAAATAGTTCAAAACGAAAACACGCACTGTAATATTCATCTAAGAGTGCAACGCATGGACAATTTTGTTTAAACTGAATTTTTTAAGCATATCCTGATGCCAAAAAAGAAAAAGTCAAATATGGCATCTTTGATTGTGTGGTGACATATTTGGAGCATTGTATCTTCGGATTCATCATAGCTTCTGCTTATGAAATACTCTATGCTCAAAAAATATATACATGTTCTATCTAATTATTTTAGTTGAATGTAGTTTCACGAAACACTTTATATGCCATTCTTTATTTCGCTAAACATTTATTTAAACCATAATTCGATACCGCTTTATAAAAACAATTCAGTTTTAGTTATTTCATATGTTTTGTATTGTTTCCACTAACGCACAGTTTCGGTGTGCATAATCAATATTTCCCTTTTAGTTGTGTTTTCAGTAGAAGTGCTTATGTGAAGTATTTTCACTAAAAGTGTTCCTTGCATATTCCCGATCGTAACGTTCGACCAATGTCACTAGAAATTCTCAGTGCAACTCTTTTCTTTGTATTTAATGACCCCCTATTTTTTTTTATCAGCATTCCAATTTAATTGCAGGGAACTACGAATATCTACAGATTCGGAATTCGCTGCCCACTAATAGGTCTTCAACTGCTCATCTCTGCTTCCGAAAATGGCCGTGGAAGTGCGAATACCAAACGGACCCCTCTACATCGATATGGACGGTTTCAGGCTCAGCCGGAACTTCACACTGGAGATGTACAGAAGCGGTCTCAAGTACCAGCCTCGGCCGGAAGACATGTTTGTTGTCACCTTTCCCAAATGCGGTACCACCTGGACTCAGCACATAGGGTACCTGATCTTCCACAAGGGAGTACCCCCACCCAGCGCGCTCGACTTTCTCAAGAGTAGTCCCTTTCTGGAAATGCTGGGTGCGGATGCCATCAAAGCCATGAAGCGACCGGGGCTCATCAAGACGCACTTGCCGTACGACTCCATGCCTCAGCACGCTCAGGCAAAGTACCTTTACGTCTGTAGAAATCCCAAGGACGCCTGCGTCTCTTTCTTCCACCACACACGCGCGTTTGCAGGCTACGAATTTTCTGATGGAAGGTTTGAAGACTTTTTTGAGGTATTTATGGAGGGAAAAAACGAGTACGAGGATTATTTTGAGCACGTCCTTTCCTGGTACTCGCATCGCAATGACCCCAACGTGTTGTTCATCCACTACGAGGACATGAAGAATGACCCCAGGAAGGCTGTCCTGGAAATCGCAAAATTCCTCGACAAGGATCATCACAAGTTACTCGTCGAAAACGAAGAGATGCTGAAGAACGTAATAGAGCACAGTGACATCAAGTCCATGAAAGTGGCCGCGGTCGAAAACTTTGAGAAGTTTTTTGCGAACCCCCTTGAAGAGGACAACGTTCCAGCTGGACTGAGAGCTTTCCATGAGGCCGCAAAGCGTCAGCCGAATGCAGGATTTATTCGCAAAGGAATTGTGGGAGATTGGAAGCAACACTTCAACGCCGACATGAACAAAAGGATGGAAGAAAAGATTTTAGCTAAGCTTTCTCAGACAGATCTTATTGATATATGGAAGAAATACGGCATAATGTGATTTCGTTGTATGTTCACTACCTTGCTATCTTGGTTGCGTCCTGAACTTTATTTTTTTTTAATTTATCTTCTAAGATATTTGAGCTATCCGTAAGCTAATCGATCACACATGAACAATCAGAGTCGTGCACATACTTGTATAAAAAGCTTGTCGTAGCGTTGCTTGTTTAAATAACTCGACCACTCATCTCGGCAAAATATACTAGACCAGGTGGCGCTATTAAATAACAGAACTGGTGGCAAAAGTGTATCTTATTATTAAGCTGTTAATACTTAATTAACAGTTTTATTTTTCAACGTATTCCCCTCCCATATCTATGCACTGTGGCATACGAAGTTTCCATTGTTGGAAGCGGTGCAGTAGGTCATCATATGTCAAGCTCGTCAGCAGCGCTGGCGTTTCTTCCTTTACCTGGTCCACAGGGCGAATATGGAGTCTTTTTAGTGTAGATTTTACCTCCGGAAACAAGTATCTCACTCGGGGCTAAATTGGGCTAGTAAGGTGGGTGGCCCAGCGCTAGGAGGTTTTTATTCGCCAGAAACTACTTTATGGAGAGAGCACTGATGCAGAATCCACGCGTTGCTTTTACGCAACATGGGCTTTTTTTCGCATTTGTTCTCCCAGCTTTGATAGAACTTCGATATAATGCTGTTGATTGATTGTCTGACCATGTGGTACCCATATACGCATGAACACTCTATTAATGTCAAATAAAATAAACAGCAACATCTTGTAAACCCTGAGATGGGGAACGATAAAATAACGGACGAACACAACAAAACAGCAATGCGTTCACTTTCGACTTGCTCATTCTTGCCTTTTTAATATTAGCGACGCGGGATCTTTCCAGTTCTTCGGCTGCATTCTTGGTTTCTGGGTCGTACTGTACTAAAAAATCCACGTCCCGTCACATGCGATGATATTTTCCAGTACATCAGGTTCCGCGGCGAATATTTTAGAAAGTCAGTTCAAATCTGTTCCTGGTCTGCTTTCTGGGTTTCTACTCCTGACGGTGTTTTTGGCATCATATTGGCGCAGACTAGTGCCTGCTCATTTTGTCATGTAAAATATGCCGTGCAGTTTCTTTATCAATATGTACCGTGTCGGTAATTACCCGAATACTTAATCCACGATCCTTGCGGGAACTAATTTGGTTTGTGGTCGTGACAAGGCTACTCTGCCGTTCGTTGTCGCAACGCTTTATCGTCCCGTGTTAAATCGTCTCTGTCACTCAAATGCTCAACTGTGTGACATCACATTGTCACCGTATACCTCCTTCAACAGTTACAAACACTCACTCGGCGATTTGTTTATATTTTCAAGGAATTTGGTGTTGATCTGCTGCCCTGTTTCAACATCAGCCAAATTGTCTCCTTTTTTTTTCACGGCTCATCTATTCTTAAAATCGAAAAAAAAAAAAACACGGGCGACAAGCACAGGATAACCACGTGGTTGTCCTGTGCTTATCCTCCGTGTTTTTATCTTTTGATTTTAAAAATTCATGTTCAACTCGCTCGATTTTACCAGTTCATCTATTCTGGCTTGTTTCGTCCGGATTGCCTCGTCTGCTAACGGCTTTTCTGTTCTGAAACCGGTTTGTGTTGTCTACTTCCGAATATTTCAAGGTTACTCAAATTGTAAACACTTCTCACTGCTATAAGCATACCACCGACAACATGCCAGTCTTGTTATTTAATAGGTACATATCGCATGTTTTGTAAAAATTAAAAGACCACTGACACCCTAAAAGTGCTGCTTGTTATAATTGCAGACAACCGTGAGTTATCCCTCACATCATCCTCAAAATTTAAAGTACAAAAACTGTAATTATTATGTTAAAAAAAAAATAGAAAAAAGACAGATTTAATTTGGCTTTCTACTCGGTGCCGAAAAGATGCATTCCCTGCATTTTTGGAGGGCTTTAAATGGAAGGGCGGGAGCTGGCGGGAAGTGTTACTTAAATTTCCCTGTTTATACTATTTCTATCCCTTGTGTGGGCGCCAGCCAATCGCCGGCCCGTTTGCTACGCGCGTGCCTTATCTTTTTTCTGCGAGTGCAGAAAGCACTCCATTTTTCAGCTTGAGTCTCCTTCTTGAGCTGTTTTTTGCATAAGTTTTTTTTTTTTTTATTAGACTTAGGTTTGGTGTGCATTCGTGATTGTTGCAAAATTACAGATCAACGTAATAAATTATTTTTAGTGGCATGCAATGTGTGAAAGTTTTGAAGTTCTGAAGAATGTCTTTTCCATATTCATGATAACAAACAGGAAACCAGGTGGAGTACGGGAGAGAAGGAGGCCGATAACTGATGGGCGCCTTTGAGCGCTCGAAATCTTTTCTTCGTGATGCAGTTTCTTTGCACTTAGATTACGCCGCCTTGAGGTGTTTGAGGCAATAATAAAGCTGATTTTGGAGTTATCAATACATTTTCAAGGCCACAATTAATAAAAAAAGACTTGTGCAAAAATTGAGGACGCATGAATAACTTGCATATATTAAAAAAAATAATAGCACTTGCCAGCGATCGTCGAAACCTTAAAACCACATATTTCTTTAAATGTTTTTTTTTCTCTAATAAATCTAAACAGACTGAAATTATAAATCGCAAGGGACAGGCAAAAAATTGAATTAGACCGGACAGCAGTATACTAAAAACTGGCATTTTAATAAAAAATCTAAGGAAGATAAGAAAGTAGTCTTCTTCATGCCCTTATCTGTCCCTTGCGCTTTATAATTTCAGTGTGTTTAACCAACTAGCCCATCTCAATATTTTAGTACATCTAAACAGAACGTATCAAAAGAAACAATTATATTGTTTATACGACTATCACGTAACGAGATAAAGGTATTGGGGAAACTGTAAACGCACCACTGCAAAAAATAGCTTACGTTAAAAGCATATCACCTTTGACTAATTCACCCCAATCCCCTACTCTTTTAATCTCCCTTTTAGAAAAAAATTTAGTGTGCGTTTTATGGCATAGGACTAGTAAGAACAAGATAAGCTTTTCAACAATTAGCACAATTCACAGATTTGGTAAAGATGACGGTATATAGGACTGTTATGTTGTCATATTACGACTTCGAACGAACCTCTTAATCTTCTGTTAGTTGCAGGCTGGTATCACCCTCATTTGTTTCCAAGAAGCACCAAGTCAAATACGTACATTTAACGGGCGTAGAGCGGATGTAGCTCCCGAATAACAGGAACGCTGGAACATATGTTGCTCCAACTGCCTCGTCACGATTGTGGTCACGGTCTCACGGAAGCAGCGATGCCCCTTCACGTATCAACAGAGAACCTGGCAACATGTTCAATCCGCTGGTGCTCAGCGGCATCTCAAATACCGGAGGGACATCGACAACACGTCCCGCCCCCGCCTAAGAAACTACAAAAGGGCGGCGTTGGCTGCTCAGCGTCAGAGGGCATGGTGGCACTTCACCGGGAGCGATGGATAACCCTCTAATGTTTTTCATGCAGGTGAGTAATGATCGCGCCCTGTATTGTAAACGTACAAGCAACATTTGCCGTTTTTCGCCGCCATGCCCTCGGACGTGTGTATTGTTGTTGCAGGAGTGTATTGATGTCACTTTTGACCTATTGTAATGCGGGGACATTAAATCGAATTCGGGACCTGATGAGGGGGGCACTGATACCCCACTTACGACGGAGGAAATGGTGAAAGCTTTTCTGGTTACACAAAACGTGATTATAAATGATCTCGGAGTAATAAAAACTAGCCAGGAACAGTTTGAAAGCAAATTCGACAGCTTAGTTAAAAGGGTTGAACAGATTGAAGTAATAGTCCAAGGCACAAACGAGGTTAAAAATCAAGTCGTAGGTCTTCAACAAAGCGTCACGTCAATGCAAGAAGACCTTTTTGAGTGTCAGAGGAAGCTTCACAGTTTAGAAGATTATAGCCGCCGCAATAACCTTATGGTTTTCGGGATTCCGGAAGACAACAATGAAACGCCAGATACGTTAAAATAAAGGTACTGGATGGTGTTTTTGAAGAAACGCTTGGAATTCGTGTTAACACTGTCGAACGCTTGCATCGCGTTGGGCGAAAAACGAACAGGAATCGACCTGTCATCGTTAAATTCTTGGATTCCGTAGAAAAAGATAATCTTCTAAAGAAACGCCGACTACTGAAAGGGATTAAGATAACAATGCAACACGACTGCTGCTGGGTGACACTTCAAAGACGCAAGAAGTCGTGGGAATGCAGCAAGCGGCATCGTGATAACGGACAAAACGTTTTTTCCTAATTCATGACAGGATAAGGATAGGCGACAGTGTTTTTGTGGGATGATATCAATGGGCAGATGTGTAAAGCAAACAAGCAGCAAACTCACCCTAACAAAAAGTGATGCCACAAATCAGTTAGTAAGCGCCCGCTGAAATTATTTGACATTGAGCTTCAATGCTAGAAGTATATTAAATAAAGTAGACGTACTAGAAATGATCTTGTTGTTTCATGACCCTCACATTGTTGTTATTACAGAGACATGGCTGCACGGTGGTATTGGGGAAAATGAAATTGTCCCACCTCCATACAAAATGATTCGGAAAGACAGAGGATCAAGAGGCTATCGTTTTTAAAGACACGGTAGATTTGGTTCCAATAAATTGCCTTATCAACGGTGAGGTATTATGGTGTAAAGTAACAATCGACGGAAATACATTTATTATAGGTGCCGTTTATAGGCCCCCAAACACAGCGCCAAAGTTTTTATACGATTTATACGACTACATGGCTCTACAATTCACCGACAAAGCTAAAATTATTTTGACAGGGGACTTTAACCAGCCCGGTATTAATTGGACAACTAGCCAAGTGGATAAAAATAAGGTACTGTCCTCAGAACTGCTTCTTGATATTGCTTTTCGTTTCAACCTGAGAGAGTTAGTGAGCGGTCCGACCCGAGAAACAAATACTGGTCAAGCAACGTTAGACTTATTTTTTGTTAGCAATATGGCTTAAGTGGACGAGATTGATATTATAGATGGAGGGTCAGATCATAAGATGTTGGAATTTTCATCGCAACTCTCGAAAAAAACATCCCAAAACACCCGTCCAGAATATTTAGTTCACGATTTCCAAAACGCGGATGATCTGTCTGTTCTTGACTACTTAGAAGAGCACTTTGATCATTTCAGTCATCTATCTGATGTAAACGAGCTGTGGAGAAAGTTTAAAAATATTGAATCCCACTGTATATGTCGTTTTGTTCCTTTAAGGAAAGTGAGAGGAAAAAGGAGGCATCCTTGGATAACGAGAGAAATTCTGCAACTAAAACGAAAGATAAAATTCCGAATAAAAAACAAAGTTAGAAACACCACTGAGATAGCGAATTTAGGACGACAGTTAAAGGATCTTGTGACGCAAGCAAAGGAAAGCTACTGTGGTAATGTGCTCTCACGCTTCTTGAGGGAATCCCCACAGAACTTTTGTCGTTTCTTTTTGACTCAAAAAAAAAAAGAAATTGTGCAAGTTTTAATCAATAATCAAGTTGTCTCTTGTCCTTCTGCGATTGCCGAAGAATTCAACATACTTCGTCTGTCTTTACGGTGTCACGTGACCCACCGGTAGACCCTGTCGTCGTACCCAACGACTCACAAACGCCAGAGTTGGTATTGTCTGAAAGTGGTATTTTTAATTTACTCTTGAATATAAACGATAAAAAAGCATCCGGAGCAGACAATATCCCCAACGCATTTCTGAGAAGATATGCAGGGTGGGTTTCGCGGTATTTATATTTAATTTTTCATGCGTCCCTTCTTCCAGAGGAAGTTACCAGAAGACTGGCTTTGTGGGAAAATTGTGCCCATTTACAAGTCCGGAAATAAGATGGACATTTAAAAGTATCGCCCCATGCAGCAAACTTTTAGCAAACAACGACATGCAGCAAACTTTTAGAACACATAATTTCTAAACATATAAATAAATACTTAGAGGAAAATAACTTACTGTGTGAACACCAGCACGGGTTTCGTCAGGGTCTTTTGACAGTCACGCAACTAATAGAGTGCACACATGAGTTTGCATCAGCAATGAACAAAGAAAGTCAGGTTGACGTAATATTTATGGATTACTCTAAAGCATTTGACCGGGTACCCTATGACAAATTAGTACAAAAATTAAACTTATTGGGATTAAATCAGGTTTTCATATCTTAGATACGTTCTTATTTACAAGGAAGAATGCGGTATGTTAGCTGTAATAAAGTTTGCTCTCCTCCGTTAGCAGTTTACTCAGGAGTACCCCAGAGATCAGTTGTAGGGCCCCTTTTATTCTTAATTTATATAAATGATATAGCAACGAATTTCCCTCCCTCGGTTCAAGTTAAATTGTTTGAAGACAAATGTATGGTCTTTTCAGAAGTGCCTACAGTTCAGGACCAGGAAATTCTCAACCAGTCCCTGGAAGACATCTTCTTGTGGAGTAAGAAATGGGTTATGGTGATTAATTGTGATAAAACTGTCCCTTGCTGTATTACGAATAAAAAAGGTCTTAGACTTCCGCTATTCTATAGGCGGTATTGAACTTCATAAAGTGGAAGAATTTAGGTATTTAGGAGTTATTTTAGCTAATACCCTGCGCTGAAATCGTCACGTAGATTACATATGCGCCAAGGCTTATCAGAAGCTAGGCTTTCTTAGAAGGCATCTTAGACATGCAAGTAGGGATGTTCGATTAGCTGCGTATAAATGTTATGTACGTGCCATCTTGGAATATGCGGGGTGCGTATCAGACCCATAGAGGAAGCAGCAGGTTGCTCAAATTGAACGGATACAGAATTCGGCACTTCGGTTTGCTTTTTCTGAGTATAGGCGCACCGAGTCAGTTACGGCAATGAGAAATAAAGTGCGGTTTAATTGTTTAGAGAAAAGAAGGAAAGTGTGTATATTAAAGGAATTATACGCGGTGGCTAAGGGCTTGACAAAGATTAATCCTGAAGTGTACATTCTACCTTCGACATCACGCTCCAAAAGAACGAGCAATACTAAAGCGATTGCACCCTACCAATACAGAAATGATGTCTTTAAATACTCTTTCTTTTGTCGGACTATTATTGAGTAGAACACCCTGCCAGAGCAAGTTGTCAATTGTTGTAGTCCTGAATTATTTGAAGCACAGTTGAATGAGCTGTTTGCTTAAGTTTTGCATGTGGAAATGTACAATTTGAGCATGCGTGGGTAGGTCCAACGTTCCTGCGCTCTCTTCACACGGTGAGTGCATTATTGAGCGACTTATTTTCTGTGTGTCTTTTTCTTGCCCTCCTGTGTAGACCGACAGGTCCACAGTATTTCAAATAAATAAATAAATAAAAACTGAAGCTATAGAATGATTTTGTCTTGTTTTCGTTGTTACAATCTCTTGATGCGGCCATCTATCGAAGGTGAGAGGTTGAAATTCA